CTGCTTGACTGATCAGTGAGGAAGGCAGCAGCAGCATCTCTTTAACAGTCCAGCTTGGACGTGTCAGCATAACAATGACACTTTAATCTAAGCAGTACCTCTGACTTTTTTTCTGTTTTAGTACAAAACAGAGTAATTTTAAAGTCAAGCAGTGAAAAAGGACTTTGGTTTTTCTGGATTTTGCTGTTTTTTTGAAGGGTTCATTTGCAAAAACAGATAACTCCATCTTCACAAACCTTCAGAAAACCATCGTCTACCTGAGACAATATCAATCAAACTGAAGTTATCTCTACTGTTGTCATTTCTACAGAGTCAAACCCACTCAACTTCAGTTTGACTGATATCATCTCAAGGAAACAACAAAAAAAAAAGTTTTATGAAAATCTACAAAATTGAGTTTTTGTTTTTGCAAATGAAGTCTTCATTTTATGTAGTTTAGCAAACAAACAACTCTTACTCTTTGTTAGACTAAACGAAAAACTATTTCAAAGCAGACCTCTCAGCCTTTGTGACTCCTCGTTAGTGTAACTTTGTTGACATCATCCTCTCCTCCAGCCGACGAGGCTTCGATCAGAGATGTTCGTCATTTTAATAAATTCGGTAAGAGGGTCTGCGACTAAATGTTTCTAGACATGATAACTCCTCTTTGACTGAATGGAAACACTGCACTTCCATCATTTCCACTTTAATGAAAACAACAGAATGGAAATAATGGTCAAATATGAAAAAGGGGGTTTTATATAATTAAAATATTAAATGTGCACGGGAGAGACGTTGAATCAGCCTCTCCATCACCGATGTGTGTGAATGGGTGAATGACAAACACTGTAAATCACTGTATGTGGCCACTTACTGTCTGAATACATGAATACAGTCGAAGGATTTTTGTTTGTTTTTTAAGGAGCAAACTCCGTCCACCGATGAAGCCAGCCTGTGAGATGCAGCTGGGAAAGTTTGCAGAAGGACCTTTAGTCAACATAAACTTACATGTTCTCTACTTTCCATTTAAAGATCTGTCGCCCAACTCAGGAGTGACCGGCTAGCTTCGTATTAACATGTCATTTCTCAAAGTCATAATTCGACTGACGTCAACAAGTCAAATACGATAAAAGCAGTTTACTGGCAGCAGCTCAACGGATTCATTAATGACTTTGAGGCAGCAGCTCAGTTCAGTTCACCTCCATGTTCCCACCAGCTGGATGGTTCTCACACACTCACACACACACACACACACACACACACACTAACATCACCCTCAGAGGAATTTCACGCTGGCATCCTGACCTGCCCAGACTCACTCGGTGGACCGACTCCAGCTCTCTGATTATCTGTTCACTCACTGCTCTGTGTGTTGTTGTTTTGTGAGTTCACTCCCAGACTGTGTTTGATATACGAGCAGCTCTGGCCGACCTCCAGGAGCTGACACTGTCCATCTGCCGCACTATGCTGTCCCCTCAAACTCCTATGGATGCTCTGCTGGCGAACTGCAGCTTCGGCCTGCTGGGCATCAAGTGTCACGTCAACTGCTCTGCTGCAGATTCAACAACTGAAAACAAACGCGTGAACAACAGTCAGGGGTGGATTCACTGAGGCTGTTTTTAGTCGCTGTAATTGTTCCTCCTATCTAGAGTGTCTCCAAAGATGGATAGATCCTTTGTGATGGGACCTGAAGGTTTAACGAGGAGCAGTTTTGAAGCTCTGTCACCATCTTTACAGCATCCGGCTCCTCCTCAGACTACAGGAAGTTTACTATCCTACTAGATTATGAAATCAGGTTGAGAGCCTCACAGATGTTCTTCTCTCTAATCTCAGACATGCACTGGGAACTAACGGTGCATCACACACTGCAGGATATTAACATTATGCCAAAGGAAGCAGAACCTTGTGTGATCTGATGGGGAAACAGATGGAAACAAAACGGAGCCTGTGGTGCGACAACACAATCGCTGTAATAAAACCTAAAAAGCACCAAAGCAGAAAGTCAGACACATCTGGATGTTTGGGAAGACGTGGCCAACACAAGCTAAGATTTTAACTTTTAAACGCTGAGGCTAACGTTAGCATCGAGCGCTAACATGATAACTAACCACTCAGATTTGACTGTTTACATCAAACATGCTGGATTCTATCAGAACAATTTTGATGAGTCTGTGAGAAGTTCAGTGGTTTCGGACTGGATCCGTAAACCTCCACGTTAACAGATGATCTGCACCGATTAAGATCCCAGACCTGATTTCTACTCCAATTGGATAAATCTACCCGTAACTCCCGGCTAATCCAGACACGAGCAAAGAGGAGCAGTGGGATATTAATACAATCTGAGTGACCGAGTTAAATAAATATTCGCCCCTTGTGCATTTGTTGTGGACGGAGAAATTAGCTTCACTGAATTTAAGCTTTTGTTGAAGTAAAGAGACATTTTGCATAAATTTCTGTTTTGTTGAAGGCAGTTTGCTTTTGTCGATTCTATGAACTTGAAATCACACTTTGTCTTTTTAAAAATGTGTTAAATTCAGCTTAACTGCTCCTTCAGCGTTGCTCCTATGGTGTCATGACATCCACCATTCTTTGTTGTTTTGGTTTCAACTTAACCACAATTTTTGTCTAATTTCCAAAGACAAGATAAAGTTTTACCCTTTTTCATTTTGGGTAAACTGAATAACTAAGTCAGCAAATTTGGACACCACAAGTTGACTTTCCTTTAAATGAAGTCACAAAAATGCTCATTTGAGAGGAATCAAATGAATGAAGTACATTGAATTTAAAAAAAGGTTGCATTAACGTTACCTACTAACCTAATCTGGATAAACTTAATGTGACCAGTTGAGGCTGATCAAACTGTTCTTTTTTTTTTTTTAGTGTACAGAGACCAAAACTGTTTCGGTTTCATTCTGTAAACGTGTTTATTTCTGCTATGAAGTCTGAGCATTTTAACATGGAGGTCTATGAGGAGGGACTCATTTTTTCAACCAGCCTCTAGTGGACATTTGAGGAACTGCAGGTTTTGAGACATTGATATCATTTTCACTTTTCAGTCCTGAAAGTTTCTGTTTTGTCTACACAGGCTGCAAAGATAACCATTTTTACTTTCAGTGTAAGCAATGGGGCACAAAATCTATTTTGTTCAAAGTAAAACTGTTCTCGAGTCGAGCTAATGTGAAGCTTCAGCAGCTCAGTTAAACAAATCAAGAGACTCTTAGTTGAATTTACGGCCTTCTTTTGGACTAAATCTCCTCCTTTTCTTACTTTCATCTCACTGCAGCTGCCCGAGGAAACACAAAGAAGGAATGCGGTGGTGAATTAACTAAAGCTAAACTGAGTTTGTGTAAATCAGATGATGAACCTTCAGAGCAGCTTTAGCTCACGTTTAGACTCCATGTCACGGCTGGTGGCCGTTTCCAGCTGGAGGACGGAATGAAAGGACCCTCAAATTGTTCCCATCTGACTTCAATTTAGCAAATAAACACAGATTATTACGGCCATCAGTCTCACCTGAAGGGACTTCACGGTGACCTTTGGTGAGCTGCACACAGCTGGAAGAGAAAGTACAGAAATAGGTTTTATAGAGTCAGGCTTATTCTACAAACAGTCCAGATAATTCTCTGAATCGTTGCTGTTTAGGGACGTTTACATGAACTACACCCAAAAGACCTGGGAGCAGGTTGAGGACACATTAAGGTACGCACATTTTGATCATTCCACAATTAATTTCCTGTTTTCAGGTGAATTTTAAGCAACAATTACTGCCGTTTTTTTGCACAATTTTATGCTGAAATTTTTTTATATTTTTGTACATACAGCTGATGTTGCACTACTCCTCATTTTGGACAGTCCGTTGCCTTTATTTGTCTATTTTATTCGTAGATTTATATCGTTTGGCATTAGTTGTGGATAGCAAAGAAAGAATTTCACAGCACAGGGAAACATGTTTCCTTACTGTGACATTAAACACTTTGAATTTTGAACCTTTATTCATGTAAAGGAAACCAAAATTCAAGCATCAGGCGTTCTGTATTGCTGCACATTCCTGTAGATCAAATTCTTTATTCAAAATGCAACCCACAAGCTGGCTGGATTTGCTCCTCTGTCCTCTTTTGCATCCTCAGTTTGGGTAAGTAGCCTCTTTAAATGTGCATGTGGCATCTTTTTACTGTTCAATTAATTATTTTCAATGAATTTATGAACTCCAAGGCTTTATTCACTCATGCTGAAAGCTTTGTTGAACACCCATAAGACGTCTAGTTGATCTTCTGATGACCAAAAACACTTCACTGTTGGAGATACTGTTGTGTCAATAAACAAAAAATGTCTGCTTCACTGTGTTTGTTCTGCATTGTCCCTCAAATCTGGGCACAAAAGCATCTTGAACAATAAATTATCTACATTTTAAAAAGTTGAAGCAGCTTGATTGAGACAGAGCGTTGGCAGCAGACGGACAAACAACAAACAACAGATGACACAAGGGGAACGGTAATCGTATGTGTTGAGGTAATTTGTTTAAAATCACCTCTGGCTCCAAGTTACTTCCTAAACTGATGGTCTGTTTAAAAAATGAAGCCACTAAAAACTAAATGAAGCATTAAAACACTGGCTTTGTTTGGAAGTGATTTGTCAGTGTGTTTATCGTGTTTCCAAACAGGGTTGTGTTGTTTGTGTAGCTGTGAACTCCTCCACACTGCTGCCACCTGCTGGCAGCAACAAACACCACAGGCTTCATACACAGTATAGAGTTTTATTGTTTATATTAAATCAGAAAGATAAGCACTATAACATACGTTACAAACCAATAAAATTTTATATCTTGGGGG